ACTATCAAGGATATAATCACCACATTATACAGTCATAATGCTATACAGCAGAGGTCCAGAACTGGTTTTTTTGAGACAAGGGCTCACTATGCAGTTGGGGCTGGCCTTGAACTCACTATGTAGCCCAGGTTGGACTCAAATTCATGGCAGTCCTCCTGCCTCAGCCTCCCAAGTGGTGGGATTACAGGTGCGCACCACATCCAGCCCAGAACTTATTCTAAGACTTAACTGAAACTGTGTAACTGAACCTTTATCCCCTTTTCCCAGCATCTCCCCACTCTCTACATCCTAGAATTCTTCGATACTCTGAAAAGTGCTCCATCACACTATCAGTGCAAACATTTTTAAGCATCTAACCCAGGCGGTGTATTTTATTTAGTTGTAAAGTGACGGGTACCAAGCCAGGTGTTGTAGCACAGACCTGTGTGAAAGAGAGAGACAGAGAGAGAGAAAGAGAGAGAGAGAGAGAAGGAAGGAAGGAAGGAAGGAAGGAAGGAAGGAAGGAAGGAAGGAAGGAGGGAAGGAAGGAAGGACAGAAGGAAGGAAGGGAGGGCAAAGTGACAAAAAAAAGAAAAGAAAAAAGGGAGGAAGGAAAAAGAAAGAAAGAAAGAAAGAAAGGAGTTTGACATGTACTATTACAATTATATATGGGTGTGGTCAAAAAAATAAAGTGACTAATTTCTTAAATTATTACAATGAAAGACACATTGCCATTAACCCCCTAAAAACACAACCCCCTCCGCCCCTGCTGCAAACATATGCCACCCATCTTGCCACTTTCCAAGGCAGCTCTGGAAGTACTTTTTGTGAGGGTTTTTAGCTGCACTGTCATGGCTACCTGGATGTACAGAATGGAGTCAAAACATTCTTCTTTCATGTTCATTTTGATTTGGGAAAGAGCCAGAAGCGGGTGACTAAGGTAGCGGAGGACACAGCACAGTGTTTCCATTTGACAGAAACTAAACATTTAACCAACGAGGCATGATCAAAAAACACAGTACATAGTTAAATTTAAAAATTACACTACAGCCCATCATTCTTGCCAATGTTTCTTTTACTGTGATAATCTTTTAAATTTAAATATTCACTGTATCTTTTGGTCACCCCTTCTAGGTATAGGACATGTATCTTTTAAAAGGGAAGAACCTTAAAAATGTAAGTTTAGATTACTCGTTTGAATGCTCTACCACTAAGTTACACATCCAGTCCAACAAGATAACTCTTAAACTGGTCAGCACTCACTAAGTCACGAGCTCAACGCCAAAAGACAACCACAAGAGCCAACTAAATCACCTTCTAAAAGCAGCACGACTGGAGTATGACCAAAGCAAAACTCTGTTGCACTGTGTGTTTGCAGGGCCTCCCTAACAAGGCACAGCAGTGCTCACATGAGAAAACTAATGTACAAGATTCAGAGTAAATATCATATCCGCTTACTCATTTGATCATTTCTTGTACTACAGAGTTTTGTTCTTTACTTATTTTAAGGCCTGTATTCAAATGAGTACATTTCAAGGAACTATCAAATGGCCTAAACACTAATCTAGCATGTTTTCTTTTCCTATAACAGAATAAAAAAGGTTAATATAACAGAATATATATATACTGAAAATTTAAGAACATGTCTATTAAATACTCTTCCTAACAAACAACGCATGAGGCACTGGTCTTTACAAAACCTGGCAGTCTGAAAGCAACTTCAAGACCAAGGCCAAAGATACAACAGTGAATTTGCTGTACAACAGTGCCACCAGGTGGCTTATGCAACGTATGTTGAGACACTCGATACCTTTAGATACGAGTCCCAGTTTATAACCTGACACTCATCTTCAACACTGCTTATATCACACATATTTCCTATCTAGAAGAAGAATGTAATCAATACTGAGCAAAAAATACCAATTTCAATTTAACTCACAGTTAATACTTGAGTATACTTGAATTAATGATTTGAGTAGTACCTGAGCATTTTAGAAGCTGAAATAACTGAAAATGTAATTCACATACTTTGTCAGTATCACAGAGTGATAATAGGTCACATAATAAGATTTACTGAAAGAACAACGAGAAGACTCAATGCTGCTTTCTATTTTAGTCTGCTGAAAAAAAGGGTTACTTTAGTACTAAGTTAGCTTCAGTGAATTTTCTCAAATAGTCAAGCCACTACAATGACAAGGCATTTGCAAGGAGCATTATACTCCCTTTACAATAAGCTCCCTGTAAGCAAGAATAGCTAACTATGCAAGAAAAGTTAAAGATACAGGGTTAGATTTTCAAGTTTTGTCTTTTACAAATAGGCAGTAATCAGTTCATTTAGAAAAAAGAAAATAATCTTTATTAAGCCTAACCAGGATTTCTATTTCCTGATATCCAGTGCCGCTGATAAGGTAACTCCCTGCAAGCTGTTTACTATGCGGTTCAAATTTCAGCTATGCAAGGATTTACCCAGAAGGTGTTCTACATAACTGAATCTTCTAAGTCATTCATGTTTGTCCATTACACAACAAACCATCATACATTTTAGACATTCTATAAACAGTTTTCTAAAACAACTTTACTATTTCCCAACTTTCTTAGGAAAAAAGTCGTAACTTAGTTTAACCATTTTCTACAGAGGAGTCGCAAAATAAGCATGAATTCTAGAGAGGTCCTGGTACACCCTGATTTTATACTGTCTCATCTCTCTTTTTCTCTTCTTCTCTATTCCCCATAGCTGGTTTTTAAATGATTAAAGTTACCATAATCTTCCCTCAGAAGGCTCTCTTGGCTAACTTCCACAATGTAACCTCTATCCCTTCTTCCTTAGGAATTAGCGTCAACCTGCTAGTTCTAGCTTTTCTATCCTTTCTGTAACATTACTCTCTCACCATCTAACAGATGATCTAACAGCATATTCTTCATATCGCCTGCTTGTCTGATATAAAGAGGTTAGAAATAAAAAAATAAACAATACTAATGTGCTCTAATATACATAAAGTCTAACAGTGTACCTGACTGTGATTGTACTATATGAAAATAAGTGTTAAGCACACATTTTTATATGACAAATCAATGCCAGTGAACATATGAATTGGAGTTTATATTCCTGGGGGTATCAGAAGGAGTCATAGCACAAAGACATAGGCTGGTGTGGTGGGACATGCGTATAATTCAGTACACTCGTGATTTTTCTGTCTCAGAAATCGTAAGTGTAAGCCCAGCCTATGCAATTTAGTGACTGAGACCCTGTCTCAAAATAAAAATTAAAAATAGGCTGGGGATGTGGCTCAATACAAAGACCCTGGGGTCAATTTCCAGTAACATAAAACAAAACAAAACAAAGCAAAACACTCTGAAATCATAACACAAACATAATTTTGTCTGGTTATTCATCAGGCTAATACAACAGGACTCTGAAAGGCACTGAGAATTAACAAAACCATCAGAAATATTAATAAACCCACTGCACATAAAATTCCAGAAAATCTAAATTTTAGTCTCTCTATACATAATCTGAACAAATCATGAAATTATCTCATTTTTTTCAACTTGTTAAGTGTTAGTAACAGACTATAGTTTAAAAAAAATTCTGCCTAAAAAAAATCTTTTTTTTAAATTATGTAAGCATTTTTATTTATAAAATAACAAAAATTTGTGAAGAGATCAGTTTATCGTTATTGTGAAAATGGTCTTGGTATATGTGAGAAACATTATATACTTTGAGGACAGCATTCAGAACTATTAAGACAAAAGACAAACTATAATTTTAAACTCAATCTTGATTTAATGAAAAGACTATATAAATTATTGCCTGGAATGCATTTAGCATGAACTCAGCTTCTACATAAACATAAAGCATTAAAGAGTACAAAAGATGTTGGAGCTCGGGCCTGGAGATTTAGCTCAGCGGCACAGCGCTTGCCTAGCAAGCACGACATCGTGAGTTCGATTCCCAGTACCAGAAGAAAAAAAAAAAAAAAAAGATGTTGGAGCTCAATAAGCCCATACCTAAGTTTTAACTGTAAAACTTCAAGGACATTTTATTCTTATATATTAGCTGTCTTCTGAGACAAGCTGATTTTATCACTGAGACTTAAGGCCACTCTCTGACTCTTGCATGAATTCTTATATGGCCAGTAACAGTGGCATCTGGTCCCTAGTGAATTTCTGCCTAAAAAATCTGATGACTTGTTTTTGTCTATCAAAGTTCCTATGACTTAAGTTTTATAAAAACTACTTTAAACCATCAAAGATTAGGTGACTGCATAAGAGACAACTCAATCCTCTTGGTTTCAACAGCTTCTCATTGCTCGGAGTTGATTTCAGATGGAAAAAGAAATGTGAGATGTATCTGAGTAAGAAACACTTATGTTACTTGCAAGTTTTCCTGATAGAGAAGAAAACAAAAAAGATACTTAAAACACTGGGCCTGTTAATCTATGGGACTTAAGTTAATTACCACTTTATTTCTGGTTAGGACAAAAACTACTGCTTTAAAAGAAAGCAATCTGTGTTTTAAAGAAGAAGGTGAGAGGCTGGGGATTTAGCTCAGCGGCACAGAGCCTGCCTGGCAAGCGTGAGGTCATGAGTTCAATTCCCCGTACGGGAAAAAAAAACGGAAAAAAAAAAAAGAAGAAGGTGAGCAAGGACAAAGTAGCTCCAGGAAAGAAAAGGACAACTCCAAAAAGTCACTTCTTTTGTGTTCCTCACACACCCAGCCCAAAGCTTCCTGGATAATGTATTTCCACAGTCCTGCAATGAAACTATATGCATAACCGAAATTCTCAAATAAAAACTTCAAAATCTGTCTAATGGCATCTGCAACCAAGTCTGAATCACTAAGGTACAGCCAGTTATTCCAGTAGGTAAAAGAATCATGAAATAACACGCATACTCTTTCTTCTTTTGATCTTGGATCAAATAAATTATTCTGCTCAGCTCTGTAAAACAGAGTGAGTTAGAGCACTGTGAAAACCTATTATTGGTGAATGCTACACAAAGAGTACGTGCTTGATCCATACCTTGTTTTAACTCCAGACCTTCAGGTTGTTTGTTCTCTCTCAAGGATGATGCAGAATCTATACAAGAGTCTTGGCTGAGGAAGGAAAATGAATAAAAATGACTTTTAAAACTATATTCAACCAAATATTTACTGCCCACGTTCCCAGAATTAAGTCAGGTACTTGGGAAGACACAATGAATTCTTCTGAGCCCCAGGGAACCACATAGCATACTTGCAGACTCAGAAACATGTATGCAGGTATCAGAGGAAAACAACACACTGCTATCTATTTAAGCAGTGTATCTCTCTGTAAAAGCAAGGGCCAACCTGGAAGGAATAAGGAGGTAATTTTTCCTTGCTTCCAGTACTCTGCAGGATAGCTGATGAGAGAAATCACAATTCTCAGCAGTATCCAATAATATTTCAAGTTCTACTGTTAAATTTAATGGGCATTTTGCATTCAAATTACTTTATATTCATCTAATTTCATACCTCAAATGCTTTGATGTCTAAAGTCTGTGGAAAGTACATATTTTATATGTAATATACATATGTAATCAAACTAAATGGATTAAATGTAAGATCATGAAGCAAGTTTCAATTCACTATGCTCTGCAAAAGAGCTACAAAATACACTGACGCTTCAGTATATTTAGTATAAGCTGGTAAGCGGCATTATACCATATTGACAATGATGCTAAAAACACTTTAAAGCAAAAAAAAATTCAGTAAACTAATTGTAAATATTCAAATGAGGAGAGACTATTTTATTCAAAAGATGTACCTATTGCCTTATAAGGATTTTTATACACACCCTCAGCAATAAATATTTAAGCAATTTTCCTGCCCACAAAACTACATACTTCCATCCAGTTAATACTAATAACTCATTTCAATAAATGAAGGATTAAAAAAGAGACGTGATCATTTCCTAGTAAAGTTTATATAATATTATTTCTAGTTAATATATTGGGGATGTATACATTGATTTTACATTAAAAATTCACTGCTACAAGCATAAAAACAGGGATTACAAAATTATTTGACTTTGGTATTAAGACATCTGGGAGATTTAAAATTACCATGTGAACATTTTTTTAGACTTCTCTGCTATCTAGCACCTACTCAGGTATTATTTTTCAACAAAATGACTGGCAGATCCCAAGGAGGACATCAACCATTCTCCTTGACAATCCAGAACAGAATTAGAGAACTGTGCAAGGAATAAATTTAAAATGTGCTACCTAAACTTTCTGGTCAACTTTTGATTTTTTACCTACTTTGGATATTAACTAGTATCATCATTTAAAGAAAATGCTCACTTTTATACATCCTCACCTGGCACACAAATCTGTCTACATACATGCATCTAAATTTCCCCCAAGAAGTATTGAAATATCACATGGTACCCAGTTAATGTGTATAATTTTGGAGTTTTTCTGTATCAGTTAAAAATAAACTTAATTAAAATAAATTTACAAACATAACTTCAACAGCATTATCATAATGACCTACGTAACATGCTAGGGAAGGCACAGACACGTCACCTAATACACCAGCTGACAATGTGTCACCCACATCATGAGGGATTATCAGACACACGCAAAATGGCGAGGAGTAATACTCTAGTTAGTGCGGTCAATGTCAATGCTGTGAAAGGTAGAGGGGCTGGCATATAGCTCAGTGGTAGAGTACTTGCTTAGTCTGTGTAGGGCTGTTTGAGCCCCAAAACTTCAAAAAAAAAATATCAAAAGACTTATGTCTGTGGAAATATTCCAGATTAAAGGAGTTACCATAGATAAAGTTCAAAACCACTGAGCTAGGGGGAAAAACTGACATTAATGAATTGAAAGACTGAAATAATAACAACAGATAAAAGTGTTTTATCAATATTAAATTTCCTTAAGTTGCTATTCATGGTTATACCACAGAATCTCTCTACCCTTTGGAAAAACACAATGAAGCATTCGGGGCAAAGTGACATTATGTATATAACTTAGCCTCAAATTTTTCACAAAATTATACACATGTATATATAAAAAGATGTGAATGGGATAAAAGTTTATCAGGCAAATCTAGATAAAGCCTATATAGATGTTTCTTGTGATATTATTCATGCAACATTGTAGTAAGTATACAAGTTATTTCCAAATACAATTAAGTAATACTAATGTAATGCAATCTGGTCCAGGCCCCTTAAAAACCCTTCAAATAAAATTAGACTCCTCTATAAAAACCATCTGCTGTCAAAATAATTTATAAACCATGAGCAATGTGAACTTATATGGAAGTCTCTTTTATCTTAAGTTTGGCGTGATCAGGCTATGGAAGTTACCAAATAGAAAGGACACGTGCTGCCAAAGCCAGCGCCAAACGCAACTTCAGACAGTAGATACAGAGCTCCACCCTGTGGCCAGAAAGGGAAAGCCAGATGTTTTTCCATCACTATTACTTGAAATAAAACAAAACAACCAGCAATAGGTTTTCAATCATTTAAAATTTAAAAATCAATACTGAGTTATTTTTCTAAGATGCAGGCTTTACAACTAAAATGACCACATAGTTCCAGAGTTCCCTAATCTGCAGATCTTCATTAAACAGCATAAAACCAAGATATTTACAAAAAAGGGAGAATCTTAAAGTGCAAGAAAACAATATATACAGGCCTTTCTATTTCTAGTTTTAAGAAAATAAAAGTTTACTCTCAGATGATAAAATATAGAATTAAAAGTAGAACAATTACAATTTATATTTAAATATTTCTATCAAATGCTTTAAGTAATAATTTTATAACAAATAACTAGTGAAAGAGGAGTGAGGAAGAGGGAAAGAAAAGACTGCCAAAGCTAGAGTGGATTAAAAATATTTCAAGAATCTTTGTTTCTTTCCATTTAAAACAAAAGAATAAACCATTTCTTATTCTAACTGTTCTCTCATCGGCAATGCAGTATGTATGTATTATGTATGTGTGTATTTACCTATTTTGGGGGGTACTGGGAATTGAACTCAGAACTTGCACTTGCCAGGCAGGTACAAGTTCCTGACCCAGTACAGTATTCTTTAAAGCAACTATATCCCTATATCCCTGACCCAGTACAGTATTCTTTAAAGCAACTTAACTTACAAGAATGATCTTGAATTATAAGGAAAACAATTATTTCTATATTTATCCCTAAATTTAAGTTCTCAAACCAACATCAGTCCAACTTTTTGTTTTATCCAAATACAGTTAGTTATCCACTTTCTTTCCTTTTTTTTTTTTTTTCTTTAACTCACTTTGTAGCCCAGGCTGGCCTAGAACTTATAGCAATCCTCCTGCCTCAGCCTCCCAAGTATTGGGACTAGTGGGATTATACGCATGGGCCACCATACATGGCCTTCCACTCTCTTTTCTTATAATTCCATGTACTTTTTAAAATCAAGTGGTACAGTGGGAAAATCTGTGAGACTTAAGAACAACCCTATGTGCCAAGTGAGGTGCCTGTAATCCCTGTTACTAAGGAGGCTGAGAGAAGACGAACATAAATTCAGCACAGTTGAGCAACTTAGTAAGACTGTCTCAAAATAAAAAATTTAAAAGGGCTGGAAATGTAGTGCTGTAGTAGAGAGCTCCTGGGTTGAATTCCCAGTACTGCAAAAAAGAACAATCACAATTGGGAATTACAAAAGCTTTAAAAGGTATTTCTAAATGTGGGATGTTATAGCTTGTGTTTAGATGTGCCCCCAAAGCCTCAGGTAGTCACAGGTGGAGCTTTTCAGAGGTGGCTGGGTCTGGGGTGTGTACTGCTCGAATTAAATGCACAATGCTGGGATCAGGGATGTGTAATTCCTAAATTAGTCAAGTGATTGGCTCGACGCAGTTCTGGGTGTGAGCGCTGCCCGCCCTAAAGCCTTGTAGTCTGGACACAATATAAAGGGACAGAAAGAATCTGTCACTTGCTGCTGCTGTTGCTTTGCTGCCTTCTGCAGGCCAAGGACTGACTGCTTCTCCTCTGCAAAGCCCCTCGGCCACGCCACCCTACCTTGGACTCAGCCAACTACGGGACTGAAACTTCTACCAACGGAGCTAAAGAAACCTTTCCTCCCTTAAGTTTTCGGTGTTGAGTATTTTGTCTTGGGAACAAGAAAAGTAACCAAGACAAGGGAGGGAGGGGGGTCTATTTCTCATCCAAATGAAAAACTCTAAGAAACTATCTCAACAAAAGGATAGAGAGGACTGTGCTAGTGTGAGTCTTCTCATTTTGGCAAAAGACAAGTCACAAAGAACCAGGTGAACTGGCACAATAAAAGGTATGACCCTAGAGCCTCTCCACTCGAGAATGAAAAAAAGAAGCCAAACCAAGCCAGCCTGGCCTTCTACTACTAAATAACATACAGGCTGTGTAGAGTGGCACATCCCAGGCTAAGACGGGAGGGTCCCAAGGCCAGCCCGGGCAACTTAACAAGACTCTGTCAAAATCAAATGATTACAGAGTAAAGTAAAATAAACTAAGAGTAGAATAAAACTAGACTAGAACAGAATGAAATAAAGGGCCTGTGAATGTAGCTCAGTGATGGAGTATTTGCCTGGTATGGGATAGGCCCCGAGATCACTGCCCAAAAACCTGATCCACCAATTCTAGTTATTTATCTTTCTCATATACTCACAAAAAGATCAAGGTTTACATATACAGGTATACATACAGACAGAGAGGGAGAGATCAATTATACTAACAAACAATAGTAAATAATTTATAATGTCCATTAACAGACTGTTTTTGTTTACGTGAAAGAGTGGAACAGTATACATACAAAGCCTCATGCAAAAGGCATAAGGAAAAAAATTAAATAGAAAAAAGTACAAGACAGTTTGGTATGCTACCATTTGTGTGAGAAAATATGACATGCACATAAATTTGTAAATGTACGGAATATTTCTAGGAGGACACATGTTTACTGTGGTTGTTCATAGGAAAAAAGGCTGGGAAACTGCAAAAAGGAGAGGCTCTCACTACGTCCTTTTAAGAACACTTACACTGCGTGCATGTATTTACAATTCAATTACATACTGTATTTCCCCAAACATAAGACCAAGTCTCATATTAATTTTTGCT